CTTTTTCACTAGGAGGGTGGTGAAGCACTGGAATGGGTTACCTAGGGAGGTGGTGGAATCTCCTTCCTTAGAGGTTTTTAAGGTCAGGCTTGACAAAGCCCTGGCTGAGATGATTTAGTTGGAGATTGGTCCTGCTTTGAGCAGGGGGTTGGACTAGATGACCTCCTGAGGTCCCTTCCAACCCTGATATTCTATTATTCTATTGCTTAACAGTGCCTGAGTTGCTGGCTTCAGGAACCATTCTTAGCCTTTAGTGTGTTGTTATTTTATTTTGATTTCGAAGTATGTTTTCCCCAAGGAGCATCAAACAGCATGAGGCAGTAATTTATGGGAGCAGATTGAGGCCTGCTGGCAGGGCCGGCTCCAGCATTTCTGCTGCCCCAAGCACAAAAAAAAAAAAAAAAAAAGCCGCGATCGGCGGCGGCAGTTCGGCGGCAGGTCCTTCGCTCCTAGAGGAAGTGAGGGACCTGCCGCCCCCAAATTGCCGCAGGTGCCGCCCCTCTCCCTTGGCCGCCCCAAGCACCTGCTTGTTAAGCTGGTGCCTGGAGCCGGCCCTGCCTGCTGGGTTTTTCTGGGACAGCTGCTGAGTGACTTTAGAGTGCTGCACCATTACAGTTTGGCAGGTCCTAAAAGTCCGATGAGTTTCTTTGACCTGCAAAGAAACTCTGAATCCTGGGGTGCCACGTTGCCACAACCTGCTGCGACACGCCAGTTCAAACGCCATCGTTTCTTGAACCACAGGATTCCAGCTCAGTCTGGGTAGCGTGTGGAGCTGAATCTAGCACTGACTGAGTAACTCCGGAGTGACTGAATGCAGCGCAACACTTCTGTGCCCCAGGGAGCGCTGCCATCAAATTGCCTCTAAAATAAGGGAGCTCTGTGCATTATTGCTCTTTCTTAGGGTATGTCAGCACTGCAGTCAAGGTGTGGGATTGTCACATGTGTAGACAGACCCACACTCGCTTTCATCGAGCTAGCTCGGGTTCCTAGAGCAGTGAAGTTGCAGCAGCACGGACACCATCATGGGCTAGTTATCCGAGTCATTCCCCAGGGCCCTGGACGAGCTGGTACAGGCTGCACTGCAGCCCATGCTGTTGCGGCTTCACTGCTATGTTTAGTCATGCTAGCTGCATTCAGGCCAGCGTGGCTCTGCCTATGTGTGTTGCAGTCAGCCCCCCAGTTGCAGCACAGGCACACCCTATCGTTATCTGCCTGGTTAAATGGCCCAAAGGTTAGGGGTGAAGCACTGAACCCTTTGGAACGGTCCCTGTGGTGACTCTTGTCACTTTGGGAATGAAGGTTGTAAGTCTGGTGGCGCGTGATACATTGAACAAGTTAGTCACCCTGCCAACAGGATGGGGTGGAGAAGGCAAGAAGCCCTGTGGCCTGGTGCCTGGTGTAATGCTTCTGTCCTGCTGTTGTCTGGCAGGCCATGATCTTCAGGACTACTGCTGTGCTCTGGATGATGACTTTGACTTGAACTGGGAAACAGAGAAGGAACTTGAAGCTATGGCATGTGATGGAGATGACTTTATTCCACCCAAAATAATGGTGAGGGCTGTTCCCACCCCCCACCCTCCCTTGCCCATGCACCTCATTCATCTTTTCACAGTTGCTGATTAGGTATTCATGGAAGAAGGGCAGAACCTTCAGATCTCTCTTGGGGCTACTAGGGGGTAAGGGAGGATGCCATTTGTGATGAGGCATAGAAAGGAAATTACCCAGCTTGGTTCTCAGATCCTAGGGGGAGTGTGCAGGGCTGGCAGTTAGAAACACCCTCCCTTCCTCATTTAACTTGTACACTGCAGCTCCACGATGCCGTTTGTGCACTTTAACCTGTTCCTATAGGCTAGGCCCTTCAGCCTTCCCTCCTCTTTACTCCTGTTCTCGCTGGTCTGGTTTAGTGATGTCCTTACGTAGGGTCAAATCCTGATGTCCTTCCTTAGCCCTCACTCAGGCAAATGACCATTGACTGAGCAAAAACTGAGTACAGAACTCTGAGTTTGACCCCTACTCAAGTGGCTAGTTGGGCAGTAGGACCATTAGGGCATTGCTGATGCTTCATCTGAATGGGCCACTGCTTTGGCATGCCATTGGGTTGCTAATATAGAGGATAGTGGTGGTGAGGTTGTCTTTTCCTTATACTCCTCCATTTTATTCTTTCCCTGGCATCCCCCCACCAAGGCAGATTTTTTTTCCTAGTGCAAGGGATGGGGGTGTCAGGGTAAGACATCTCCCCCCAGGTTTAACAGGATATGGAAATATGGGGCCCGATCCTCCTTTAACTTACTGTCTGGGTACTGCCCTTGCTGCAATCACAACCGTATTGCATAATGTGTTTGGCGGTCTTAGGCCATACCACTATTTTCTATACATGGAGGGACTAGCTGGGCCCAGGGTCCCTGCTATTTGCTTTCTACAGTTCAGAGAGGAAATAGAAATAGCCTCTTTTAGCAGCTTATTTCTGACCTGAAAGAAGAAATATTTGCATCCAGAGGGATTATGAAGACTTCTTATGGAATAAGGATGCAGACAACATCACTCCCAGTGTACAGTGCCTGCCCACAATCCCTTTGTGTCTCTGCTCATGACCCATTTCTATTTCTCATTTCCATTCCTAGCTTATTTCTTCCAAGGTCCCCAAAGCTGAGTACATCCCAACGATTATCCGCAGGGATGACCCCTCCATCATCCCCATTCTCTACGTGAGTAGCCTAGCTCTTTGCATGTTCATTGGGTACTGGAACGTTGGGTTGGCTCATAAGTGGAAATGAGTTTAGTGATTGTATCCTAGTCCCTAGATGGCATCAGAATACCTCAGAAGAACCATTGCACAACTGAGCAAAGCTGGCAAATACCTGCTCAAGAGAGGCCCAGTATTTTGGCAGCAGACATATTAGGTCAGGATTCAGGTTTATTGGCAGAGCTCTGTGGGGTGCCCAGGACTGGAATAGTGGGGTGGCTGCAGGACAGGATGAGGGGCACTATCAGAAGCATGTGTCTAGGGACCTGGGACTGGAGTAACAAGGGGGCTGTGAGCTGGGACTGAGGAGCATCGTCCATGCTGTGTGACACCAGGAGTTGAATGGCGTCAAGGTTGCAGGTCAGGATTGAGGCACATTAGCAGAGCTCTGTGTGTTGGAAGGCTCCACAGTTCTTTGCTGCATTTGACCCGTTCCTAGACAGTTCAGGACTCCACGTATCTCTGCAGTGGACCTCAGTCCTGGGCTCACCCAACACATTTCCCTATTCAACACACAAACAATGTGCAGTATTTACTTTTTGAAGTCCACCTACTTCCTGTAACTTACAAAGTTTATGTTTATTGTCACACATGGGTCTTAACATAAGGGCAATGATGCTTGTGATGTTGACTGAGACCACCAGTTGGTTTAATTGAATCCCAACTTATGTGCTTACCTAGTGTAGCATTGTTCTCTGTCGCATGAGGAGATCTCTTTAAATGATGAGTATCTAGCAGCACCTAGGTTTGAAACATCCTTTCTGTTCGGTTCCAGGATCATGAACACGCCACCTTTGAAGATATTCTAGGTACGTGAGTGTTATTTTCTTTGTCTTTTCCCCCACTCAAAGTTTCACGTGAGCAGTAACAGGGAGCTCTCCAGTGCATGCGGGATTTCATTGTAATCCAGTGTTCTATTGCATCCAGCCTCCATTGGGAAAAACTATGGATTCCTGACTCCCAAAGTTCTAAAGTCTGGGGCCTGTTTTGAAATCAGTGGGACCTGTGGGTGTTCAGCACCTCTGAAAGTCAGGCCCATGATGTCTTACAGAATAAACACAAATGAGAGATAGTGAAAATCTCTGTAGAAGAGCCAGTGTTTCACCTTCTGTGTGGCTCACGTGTCTTCCCTTCACTGTTTTCTGCAGAGGAAATAGAGAAGAAGCTTAACATTTATCGGAAAGGCTGCAAGATTTGGAAGATGCTGATTTTCTGTCAGGTACGTGATCGGCATTGGGGCCCTTGGCACTTTGTTAAAAGCCAATATTTTCTCCAGGAACAAATTAACTCCAGAAAACAATATTCCAAAGCCAACCTGCAGCAGGCTTTTATTAAAGCAATCACATCTATTCAATTCCCATTTCTCATTTGTTGACCTCTGAGCATCCTCAGCTTGCTGTGATGGCAGCAAAGGACATTTGGCTTAGTGCAGCAAATGCAGGGTTTGGCAGCTTTTCAACAGCTTTCTAGCAAATCCATGCAATCTGACTTCAGAAGGAAACTCACAGACAAAGGGGCAGGGATTTGGAGCTTGATAGTTATTGATTACTTTCATAAAGTATCCTGCAGTATGCGTTAATACAGGAACACAGGAACTTCTATACTGGATGAGGCCAGGGTTCCCGTCCCTGCCAATGGCCAGCACCAGACCGTGCCGTGAGCAGTTATGGAGTGACTTGCCCAAAGAGAGGTTTTTGCTGAGTCTTCTCATGCCCTGGAGCAGGAATGTTGCAATCCAACCAAACTTTTGAGATTTTTGTTTTTAATTCTTACTGAAATAACTATGGATTTTCTCACAATCCATATAAATGTTGAATCCTTGTGTCTTCTACAATTAGAGTAATGATGGTTTTCCATGCCTCCTGGCCTCTGTTTGCCTATCATTTCCCTACCCCACACCATCAGAGATCCTTAAAGCAGCAATACCAGCCAGTGATTCAATGACTTTATCATTTTTGTGTAGGCTGTACTTGCTTACTAGATAGATTCATAGATTCCAAGGCCAGAAGGAACCATTGTGATAATCTAGTCTGACCTCCTGTGTAACACAGGCCAGAGAACCTCCCAAAAGATCTTTTAGAGAAACATCCAATCTTGATTTAAAAATTGCCAGTGATGGAGAATCCAACTCAACCCTTGATAAATTGTTCCAATGGTTAATTACTCTCACTGTTAAAAAATTTAGGCCTTATTTCCAGTCTGAATTTGTCTGGCTTCAACTTCCAGCCATTGGCTCATGTTACACCTTTGTCTGCTAGATTGAAGAGCCCATTATCAAATATTTGTTCCCCATGTAGATATTTACAGACTGATCAAGTCACCCGTGAACCTTCTCTTTGTTAAGCTAAATAGATTGAGCTCCCCGAGTCTATCACTCTAAGGCAGGTTTTCTAATCCTTTCATCATTCTCCTGGCTCCTCTCTGACCTCTCTCCAATTTATCAACATCCTTCTTGATAGGAAATATCCCTGAATGTTCAGATAAAGTTTCCAAGTGAGATGAATTTCTTGGTCTCCCTTATTATTCCCCAATTTTCATATTTACACCGTGAAGATTTTAATCCAGAAATGTTATTGAGTCTTTCAAGAGCAGAGTTGGCTAAATAGTTAAAGAAAAACCCGAACTCTGATTATAAATATGTGCATGAATAAAGTGCAGAGTTCAGTTTGCTATGATCTGTGGGGGCATCCTGTTTACTATTCAAAAGTATAGGGGTGGCTACTGGGGGAAATGTTTTATATATTTTAAAACTTTCAAGAATTTAAGTGTTAAGGCTATTTGGCTGAAAATTCATACTGGGAACTGCATCTGTTGCCATTCACTATTCTCCTGTCTCAGCCGTTTGAGTCATCCAGTCAGGAAGAAGAAACAATACCATGTGATTTAGGCAACCAATCACTCCGCATGCATAGCAAAGAGGGAATATTCTAAGCGAACAGTTTGTGGACAACCTGAAAGCTGAAAATTATTCAGCAACTCCTAATGTAGCAGCCGTGCTCCCGGAACCCAGGGGTGGTTCTCACATGAGACAGCAGCTGAAAACGGGACCAAGTTCACACCAAATTCAGGGCAGGATTCTGTGCAGCCATGCTGCAGGTTCACAGTGGGGAAGCAGTGGCCATAAGGAGCCTTCCCCTGCATGTGGCCGTGTAAGAGCTGGGCAGAGCTGTAGCCCCGGCACTGTCCGGAGCACAAGGATGGCTGTCTAACAGCTCCCCTAGGGATGTCTGGTGCTCCAGAGGGGAGGGGTGTAATGTAGGCTGAGCCAGGGCTCCATTCCCAGCTGGCTGGCCATCTACAGGGAGAGATATGGGGGTCCCTTGCTGAGGCAGACTGCCTCCAATGCTGCTCCTGGGCAGATTGTGCCAAATCCTGAAGCCTTTGCTGAGTTTTCACTCAGTTGTTACTCAAGAAAATGTCAATTGAAGTCAATGGGAGTTTTTCCGGAGTAAGGACCAAGTGAAAACTTATTTGTTACATGGATACAGGTGCCCTTTGAATTCTTCAGCACCATACGGTCAGAATGCTGCACATCCGTGAGCCACACAGCTGGCCCTGACCACTATATTTGCCAGTCAGTTAACCAACATCTCTGAGGCTAAGATCCCACCTAAGGCAAGAAGTGGAGGCCAGGGCAGTTTATCCATCTGCCTGGAGCAAAGTCAACCTGCTTTGTGATTTTAGTGTCACTCACAGACTGGAGAGTGTCTGCTCTGCCCCCTCCAGTGCTTCTCAAACAGTCCCGCAGGAGTCTAGTCACTAGAAATGGGAAAAGCCAGTCCATTTCTCTGAGGCCAGGGCAGCGTGGTGTGCTACCGTCTCTCTCTCTCTTCTCCATGCAGGGAGGTCCTGGCCACTTATATTTGTTGAAGAATAAAGTTGCCACCTTTGCCAAAGTGGAGAAGGAGGAAGATATGATCCTGTGAGTCGCTTTGTTATTTCCCAACCCTGGGTGCCCTTTCTCTGGTCTATTTAATGTAGATGGGGGTGGGTAGGCTAAAGTTTTATTCATATATTCATTGTGATAATCTACTCTGACCTCCCGCGTAATACGGGCTAGAAAACTGCCCTGCATTCATTCCTGTTTGAAGTAGTGCAGAGCTTTTAGAGAAACACCCTGTCTTGAATTAAACATGGCCAGTGATGGAGATCGATCATGATCCTTGGGTTCCGATGGCTAATTCCCCTCACAATTGCAATGTGCACCCTAGTTCCAGTCTGGATTCGTCCGATTTCAGCTTCCAGCCATTCTGCTAGACTGAAGAGCCCATTAGCAAATATCACCAAGTCAGCCCTTAACCTTCTCTTTGTTAAGCAGACTAGCTTGAGCTCCTCAAGTCTCTCGCTTTGTCTACTGGGGTTCTCTGTCTGGGCCTTTACTCACTACAACTGCTTTCGGCTGCTTTATTGCCCTCAGCATTCACCGATGCTACATTGTCTTTTTTAAAATGTCAATGCTGGTAATATCATGCAACACAATTGTCAGGGGCAATTGGGACAAGGGGAGAAAAGAGGAAATCAGAAGGGAAAAGATGAAAGGAAAGTGTATTTAAAAACCCTGGCAACTATGAAGATGTAAAATTTAAAAGGCTTGGGACCAGTATTGAGGGGAGAGGAGTCCAACTGTGCTGCCCTGCTTGGCAGAGGCAGAGCTGAGGGTGAGTGGTCAAAGAATTATTCTATGGGGGGAAATGCCAATACTTGCAGCAAGTATTATTCACAACAATCAACTGGCCAAGCTCTGCTTTGGGAGCTCACCACTGTGCCATCCTGGAAGAGCATCAACAACCCACCACATGTGAGTGCAGGTGCCCTGTGCTGCTTCAGACAGGTTCAACCCACCTTACAGGCATGGAACAGGTGAGGCGGGGGGATTTCCATGGAAAATCTTGCAAATGAGCTCAGGGAGAGAGGCTTGTGTCTCCTCCAGGGTGGTCCCACTTTGGTCTCCCTGGACAGCATGTGTCCAATGCCAGGGTGCCTGACTCCGCAGAGGGGGTGGATTTTAAATGGTAATTTTGTTTCCTCATATTACTTCCAGCTTCTGGAAGCGGCTGAGCCGATTGATGAGCAAAATCAACCCTGAGCCAAATGTCATTCACATCATGGGCTGCTACGTTCTGGGAAACCCCAATGGGGAGAAGGTAGGCGGCCCTGGGCCATGGCCAGAAGCTCTCTATGGGCAGGTCAGCTGGTGTGGCACAGAGTTGGTATATTTGATTAAAGGGCTTTCCCTCTAATATTGAGGGGCATGTTGCCCTTTTCCCAGCCACTCTTCTCTAAGGATTTGCCTGCTTTGCAGACATGTGCTGCACATCCCATCTCATGAAGAGAGTAGCTCGGATGGTGTGTGTCTTTGAAAGGATAAGCCACCCTGTGGGCTGTACAGTAGATAGGCAGGAAGGGGTACTAGAGGTGGGAGATAGGCAGGAAGGGACTGTTCAGTTTGGCCTTTCAGGAAAAGTGAAGAATGAGAACATAAGACCCTTCCTTGCAGCCAAAGACAAAGATCAGAGAATCATAGAAATGTTGGGCTGGAAGGGATCCCGAGACATCATCAAGTCCAGCCCCTGTGCTGAGGCAGGACCAAATAAACCTAGCCCATCCCTGACAGGTGTTTGTCCAATGTGTTCTTAAAAACCTCTAGTGGCAGGGATTCCACAACCTCCCTGGGAAGCCTATTCCAGTGCGTAACTAGCCTTCTAGATAGAAAGTTTTCCCTAATAACTAACCTTGCTGAAATCTCCCTTGCTGCAGATTAGGCCCATTACTTCTTGTCCTACCTTTAGTGGATGTGGAAAACAATTAATCACTCTCCTCCTTATAACAACCCTTAACATATTTGAAGAGGGTTGTCAGGTCCCCCCTCAGTCTTCTTTTCTCAAGACTAAACATGACCATAGGTCAGGTGCCCAGAACTGGACACAGTACTCCAGTTGAGACCTCACCCATGCTGAGTGGGACAGTTACCTCCCATGGCTTACATACAACACGCCTGCTAATACACCCAAGAATATTAGCTCTTTTCCCAACTGCATCACATTGGTGGCTCATACTCAGTTTTTGATCCACTATAACCCACACATCCTTTTCAGCAGTGCTACTGTCTAGTGAGGTTTTTCCACCTTTTGTCCCTACCAATAACCAAAAGGGCTGATCGGGTTAGCCTGGGATATTCAAAGGGAACTAGAGTCAACGTGAGTTGGGCACCTAACTCCCTTAGGTCCCTTTGAAAATCACAGCCGTATTCAGCTACCCCTTATAGGCAGGATTCTTCCAGTGGTTGTGTGCACTGGCTCTTATGGTCCAGCACAGGAGCTGTGAGCTGCTGGGGCATGGGTGGAGCAGGACCTTGCCTAGTGGTTGTGGTGGCAGTTCAGCATAATAGTGAGCATAGATCCAGGAGTCACCTACCAGTCGGAGGGTGACACCAGAGTCAGGGGCGAGAAGCCAAGCCAAAGGTCAGGGCAAGGCGTAGACTGGAGTGGACAGGAATCAGGTTGGAAGCAGAGGCGGGAGCAAGAGCTAGAGAAGGAAGTGGAAGCCAGCACAGCTGCACCATGGCATGCTTTGAGCAGCCACTCTGCTGCTGCCACTGCAAGGCTCAAGTAGCAGGCTGCTGGCTCCCTGCCCGATCAGGAAGCATGGCCATTTGGAGAAGACTCACTGAGCTTGCTGGGTGGCCTAGCGACCAGGCTGGGAGCCAGCTGTTCTCCTGACGGGGCTGACCCAAAGGTTTGAGTCTGACTGCTCTGAAGAGTGCTGAGTTCTCTCGTTCCCCATTGCCCTGTGCCTGCCCATCAGTTATTTAATTTGAAGCACCTGGAGTGCCTCTTTTGCGTCAGCTACTAACTTTTAAATCTCGTCTCATTTCAGCTATTTCAGAATCTGAAAAACCTAATGAATCCTTATAGGGTTGTCTTTGAATCACCATTGGAACTTTCAGCTCAAGGTAATTTCTTCTGCTATAAATGTGAGGGTGCGCTCCTCCAGCATCACTGCCTCCTCCATGGGCCCCTTTCACAAAGCAGCACTTTTCAACTTCCGGAAGCCCTGCCCCAAAAAGCCAAGTCACTGAAACCTTCCCCTGTTTGTAATGACTTTATCATTGATTTGTATGGTGGATTCCTCCTGGTCCGGCTTTTCCCCTTTGATATTTCCTCCCCTTTTTGCCTTTCAATTGCACCCATCATTGTGTTTGTAGCTGGAGAGTGCTCTCCAGAGCTAATGCAGATCAACAAAAAGGGCCTGTAACAGGAGCTGAGCTAATAATTGATGTTTTGGTTTGATGGGAGTTCCAAACAATTGAAAAAAAATTCAGTTCGGGTTGAATCGAATCTGAAATTTTCAAAATTTTTGGTGACTCAAAAGAAGTCCATTTCAGGTCTGTGCCAAAGCAGGGACTTGAACCTTGAGCTCCTACATGAGGTAAGTGCCCTAGCCACTGGGCTTAAGGGGCAGAAAAGTAGCACCTCTTCCTCTGGCTAGTTTGTGACTGACTGAAGCTTTGTGTCAAATTTGCAAATAGTTTCAAGTCAACAGAAACTGCATTTTTTGTCAAATAAACTTTTCTTTAAAAAAATGTTGCCCAGTTCTACGTGGAACTAATACTGACCCTTCTGGGCAGAGGTAGCTTAGGAGATTCGGTAAGTTACCAGAGCATGCTGAGCTCAATAGGAGAGAAGCACATGCACATCTGGGAGTAGAATCTTTTCCTTAATGATGCATGTGAGTATTTCTCCTCCAGAGGATGCTAAACAACAGCACTAGTTCTGAACAGACTGCCCATGCTAACAGGAGAGCTGAGTGTGAACCATCTTTTCATAGTCTCTTCTTGTCTGTAGTTTGAAAGACTTTAGAGGCTATAGACACCTTTTCTTTCCTTGTATGGTTGATATCTGGCTTGTGGCTTCTATCCACCTGCTGTTTGGTAGATTTTCACAGTTTAAAGAGTCATAAATACAAGGGATGCATTGTTGGCCTTGCTGAAGTTATCCACTGTGGTTTGCCATTGCCAAAATCATAGCGATTAAGACCAGAAGGGACCATCAAATCATCTAGTCTGACCTCCTGGATATCCCAGGCCACTGACACCTACCAGCACCCGCACACTCAACCCATTGACCGAAGTGAGACCCAATATTCCAGCCCCCAGGAGACTAGACTTTTGTGCCACAGGCAGAGAATAGCAGGGACTGAGGTGCACCAGTGCTTGAGGTCCCCGCAATGGCAGGGAACCGATTAAGTGAGATACACCCAGATAATCATGGCAAGTGCCCCGCACCCATATGCTGCAGAGGAAGGCAAAAAAAAAACAAAAACCCAAGGTCACTGCCAATCTGACCTGGGGGGAAATTCCTTCCCAGCCCCACATATGGCAATCAGTTAGACCCTGAGTATGTAAGCAAGAACCAGCCAGCCAAGCATTTGAAAGAGAGAATGTTTGATGCCATCTCAGAGCCCTGGTGCTCCCTGTCCAGTGTCCATCTCCAGATGTCGCCATCCCAGGTGCTTCAGCGGAAGAAGGTTTAAAATAAATCAGAATGCACTGAGGGTGGAAAAATTCCTTCTGACCCCTGGCGGTGGCTGGCTGAAAACCAGGGCTGCTGAGCCCTACCCCCCACCATTGCAAGCATCCACATCATACACTTGCACTCATAAATTTTGTCCAGCTCTTTCTTAAACCTAATCAAGTTCTTTGCCCCCACAACTACTATTGGAAGTCAGTTCCAGAACCTCCTCCCTCTGATAGAAACCATTGTCTAATTTGCAGCCTGAATTTGTTCATGGCCAGTTTATATCCATTTGTTCTTGTGCCAATACTGTCCTTTAGCTTAAGTAGCTCTTCACCCTCCCTGGTATTTAATCATAGAATAGCAGGGTTGGAAGGGACCTCAGGAAGTCATCTAGTCCAACACTCTGCTCAAAGCAGGACCAATCCCCAGATAGATTTTTGCCCCAGATCCCTAAATGGCCCTCTCAAGGATTGAACTCACAATCCTGGGTTTAGCAGGCCAATGCTCAAACCACTGAGCTATCCCTCCCCCCAATGTGTTTAGAGAGAGCAATCATATGCCCCTCAGCCTTCCTTTTGCTAGACTGAACAAGCCAAGCTCTTCCAGTCTCCTCTGATAAAATAGGCCCTCCATTCCCCTGACCATAGTAGTTCTTCTCTGCACCTGTTCTAGTTCACATTCATCTTTCTTGAACTTGGGTGACCAGAATTGTACAGAGTATTCCAAACAAAGTCTTACCAGTGCCTTGTACAATGGCATTAATACATCTCTGTCTCTACTGGGTATGTCATGCCTGATACATCCAAGGATTGCATTTGCCTTTTGTCCAGCTGCATGACATTGGTGGCTCATAGTAGTCTTGTGATTGACCCAACACCCAGCTCTCTCTCCTCCTCCTGTAGCTTGTAGCAGAAATTCTTATTAGACCCTAAGTGCATGACCTTGCAATGTGTACTATTGAATTTCATCCCATTTTTGCCACTCTAGTCTTCAAAGTTATCCAGATCTTCCTGTATAAAAATCCGATCCTCCTCTGTATTGACAACGCTTCCCAACCTTCAGCAAATTTTATTAGCACTCCTACTCTTTGTGTCGTGGTCATTAATAAAAATACTGAATAAGATTGGCCCAAAGACTGATCCTTGAGGAACTCTACTGGTAACCTCCCTCCAGTCCGATACGTCATCTTTCAGCATACCCTGTTGCCTTCTCCCCTTTAGCCAGTTCCTTGTCCACCTTACAATTTTTGTACTGATCCCCATCTTCCCTAATGTAACTAATAATTTACCATGTGGTACTGTGTCCACATATTTTAGATCTATTTATTTGTATTACTGTAGCACGGAGGAATCTAGACACTGTACAAATACAGAACAAAAAGACAGTCCCTCCCTCAAAGAGCTTACAATCTGCAAGAAGGTGAACACCCTCATTCTGTTTGACCTTAACAAGATCATCCTCAACTCCCACTGACTTGGGTTGAGGGTCCTCAGCAGTTTGCCAGGAGGGGCCCTGCATTTTCAAAGTGCATGCCTAAGCTCCACAACAAAACCATGCAGTGGCGCATGGCCTTGTGCAGAGAGTTAATTGTATCAATTCAACAGAAAAGACTGTGCTTTCTGCAAACAATAAATGTTGTAGGTGGTGCCCAGCAGAGCGGTTCTTGGCTCTGCAGGAGAGCAGGGCTTGAGACTGCATTGCAATTTTTTCATCTCGATAAATCTAGGACACATAACGTAACAACTTTAATCCCTGGCTACCCATCATGCAGACATCTCAAACTGGCCTTAATCAGCTGTGAAAGAGAAAAGTCCTTCCCTCTGTTTTGCTTTTTAGAATCTAGGATTGCTTGTTTTTCTTATGCTTTGTGGGGGTTTGGGTTTTGTGAAGCTACACTGGCCACCTCCATTGCAGGATTTCTGTAAAGTGACTGTCCTAGTGAAATACTTCAGTCAAGCAGGTGCAAAAAGGATTCACACCAGTAGCGAAACCACCCAAGTCCACATTTTCCCCCAAAGTGTTCTGCTGAACTTTTCACTTTGGCAAAAGAGAGATCTGGGTAGCTAAAGTGATCTTTTGCCTTACCAAACTCACTGCAGCCATGGAGATTGGAGATCTCATAAGCATGAAGGAGAGGGGCCTCTGTTACTGTCTGACAGGTCTGACTGTACCTTCTTTTGGTCCATAACTTTCCAATAGGCCAGTGGCGTGTTCCCTGCTGTCATTCTAGCTAGTCTCTCCCAGAGCTGGAGTTACAGAGCTGGAGTGAGTTGTACTGTGACTCTCAGCAGCCACTGATTATCACCTTTGCTGGCAGTTTGTGCTGGGAGGCCAAGAACAGAATGGGACATGGAGACAGAGCTGTATCTCACCTTCTGGGTGCGGGTGGGCCCACACTGGCAGGCTGTTAGGAGTGGAGCCCGCCTTGCTGTTGCCTGGGCTCTCCAATGTTGAGTATGAATAATATGGTCACCCATTTTGGGGGTTGTACTTTCAGATGGGGCATGTGATGCCCTGAGTAAGTGACAGCTGTCAGCAATGTCCCTACATGAGACTCACAGACAGACTCTCCTGTGCACATCCATGAAACAGGGAGAATCAATCTTTTTGGCTGCTGCGGGCTGCTTGGTCTCTGCTCCGCCCAATGCATCACTGGGGTAATCTGTGCTTTGTTTTGGTTCTCATCCTAGGGAAGCAAATGATTGAAACTTACTTTGACTTCCGTCTTTACCGCCTCTGGAAGACTCGCCAGCATTCCAAACTGTTGGATTACGATGACATTTTATGAGCTGGAGAAGCCATTGCATGAGGAGAGTGATCACCAGTATCTCACAAGTCATGCTTGTGGCAGAGACTTTTTTCATTGGCACGGGGAGCCCTGCAGGAGGCAGCAGTGCTGAAGGGCTGTCAGGACGAAAGGCTTTTGGGTAAAGACAGAGGCTTGAAGGGGAATGGTGTGACTCCGCAGACACTGCCCGCAGAGCCTTTGTCTCTCAGAGGGAGCTGTGTCAAATGGGAAATTTCCTTGCAGGACTGAGCTGTTTCAGGTCATGATGGGCCAGAATCAATTCCAGGTCCTTTTAAAGACATTTAAAGCTCAGGTTTTCTTATAAAAAAGAAAAACAAATAATCCTTGCACTATAGTAAAGCAGTGACTTGAAGCCCAGAGCGGGAAGGGCATTGTACTGATGGGTGCTCCCCAGCGGCGATCTTTGCTGTGCTAGGGATGTTGGAAGGCAAGGAACGCCATACTTAATCCTGCAAGCTTTGACCGGCAAAGTTCAGCAACCTAATGTCAATACACATTGAAATACAGAATTAGAGTTTAACGTATTTTGGTTTAATAGAAAATAAGTGCAATTTTTATACACAGAGGGGAAAACCCTCCCAATATTTAATTAGTTACAAATAACACATCAATAATCAATAGATGAGGTATTTTTTAGTCTGCTTGAAAATATATTCGAGATTGTAATATATCTTCTGTAGACATATTTAATCACCAGCAATATGATTTTAATGTTACTTAGCAGACCCTGCATGTCTGCTGCATTGATCAGTCCTGTTTGGTTTTGGTTTTATTTTTAATTTCCGAGTAGCTGTGTTACGCTAATTGTATGTGTTCTTATGAATGTATATTGTCCCTCCAGTTAGACACAACTTTGTTACTTTATCTTTGCTACTTGCAAAACTGTATGGTTTTAGTTTTGCTGAAAGTTTAGGTTAGAAATACAGTACATGACTGAGTGGAATCTTGCTCAGTTTCATTAAGATATAACAATGAAGTAGAAATTAATAGCCATGTTAATTGTTCACTCAGTATATTGCTACATTTTAGAAAGATGAGCTCTTCTTGCAGACTGCAGGATGGAACAGAAGATTATTTGAGAATGAGAAATCCTCCGAGGAGGTTTAGGTGTTTGAATTAATAGAATGAAATACTTCTTGACGTATGTAGCATTGGTTGGTAGCATTTTGAATCTTTCCCACATTCATCTAGTTGCCGGTTTTTTCCAGCAATCTATTGAGCCGTTTGTAGTTCTCAGCTTTCCCTTCCAAATACTCTTTGTCTGAGACAAACAGCTTATATAGCTCTCATTTGTGAGCAGCTATGGTTTTCGAATCTGGATTTGTGCTGAATATCTTTAAGGATATTCTGTGGAATATCTTAACTTTTTTTTAGTCTTCTAGTCTCCTGAATGTCTAGGGACTAAATATTACTGTCGTCTGCACAGGTCACCCTGGCCATTTGGGGCAATTATACCCTTTCTCTTTCAGAGAGGTAAAATATACAAGAGAATAACCATGGAGGGTTAGCTTGGGCTCCTGATGTGTTCATTTGTAAAAGTACCTGGCTGTGCAGTGCAGAAAAAAAATATGTATAAACCTTCTTTTGAATCGTAAAAAAAAAAAAAAAAAGATCTGATCTGTGGAAAATCCCCTTTCTCTTTCCTGCCCCATGTGTTGTTGTAATACTAGGGAGCAGGCCACTGGCTAAAACTGCTGACCCATGTACATTAATGACCTTTTATGTCAAATTTTTATGAAATAATCCACGTACAGTTAGTAGTGGGGGAGAGGGAGAGACAGTTTCCGATCATTAGAAATCACCATGCCAAAGCAAATAGTTCATCAATATCTGCTTGCGAATGACATGGCCCCAGCTATCGAGAAAGGTGAGCACATTGCTCTGCTTCTCCAGGTGGCCATCCGGATGCTCTGCTAGCTGCTGGTCATTGGGGGCGCAATTCTTTTTCTAGTTGATTTATGCTCAGATTTTCAGACTAAAAGGATTCTTGGCATCATTACGGTGGCTTTGGAAGAAAATGTCATAGCACATTTTTTTAAAGCTATATGTCACTGAACTAACATTTGGCATGTGATCACCTCTCTGCTACGTCAGGAGGAGGTGTGAGTTGGATATTCTACGACAGCCTAGAAATGAAATGACAGTGACAGCATTAAGATGTTGACGCAAAAACGCATCCATATTTGATTCTGTCACTTTCCAGTTTGCTTTCATGATTTGGGTTGTTGCTTACAATGTTAAGTGAAGAATGATAAAATGCTCTCTCGTCTCAAGTAAAGCCCCACTTCAGTGAATGTGATAGCATAAATGTAGCATTGTGAAAATACTATGTGACTCGGAAAGGGCCTTTAATATATACACTTTGGTAATTTATCTGTATAACTATTGTATATCTATTATGATTGAGCACTTCTAGAACTAGAGTTGCAGTAGAAAGGTAGACTGTACAGTTGCATAACCTATCCTATACGGAGATGTGAGTTTGAATGACTGTTTCAGACTGTTTTACTGGTCCAATTGACTGTATAGTGTAGTAGATTGAAAATAATGAATGCATTTCTCTCTTTTCCAAAGATCTATCCCATGTAGTTTTATATTATTATGACATGAGCAGATTCTTGTATTTGCAGTGATCATTTGACTAAATGGATGAAAAAATGTTCTAAAAGCTATAATTGGGAGGACAGTATGGGGCTTTTATACCTCCTGCCTATCAACTATTTAAAGCCTTTTGTGCTAATATCACTTTGCAAGTTAATTTTGAAAGGAAGAATTTGTGTTTTCATCCACTTCTAGCTGGCTGATCCTTTAGAATGCCTGACAGAACAGGAAGGCGTCAGCAGGGTGTAGGATGAAGAAAAACTTTGTAGCTATTTAGGCCTTAGAGGAAAACACATAGAATGTGACAGCTTCCATTGGAACCAACATGTCAGCAGTTACACGCAATGGGGCCTGCATTCATCAGTCAGTATATCGTATGCACACAAGGTGAAATCCACCCTATGCAGAGGGACAGCCTCAGTTCTATGCACCACTTCAAGCCCACCTAAGCTCTATGGAATGGGCTTTAGGTAGTGCATAGGCCTTGTACTGTCATGCTCTGTTGTGTACTCATTACGGCACGATGAGATACCAGAGGTATGTTTACTGACTGATGTGCGCATCCTAGAGTGTGTCATTGCACCTATACAATGGTTCTTTTCAGTTTAAAATTTTTTTAGCTATAAAGCTGTATTAAGCCATGCAATCTGTTCCCCAAATTAGTCCCCTTTCTAACAGTACTCTTATTTATAATTGCTATTTGAAACTTTTGGTGGAGCCCACTTCTAATAAATGTAGTGCAACTCTGTTTATAGTGGTTTCAGAGTAGCAGCTGTGTTAGTCTGTATCTGCAAAAAGAACAGGAGTACTTGTGGCACCTTAGAGACATTTATTTGAGCATAAGCTTTCGTGGGCTACAGCCCACTTCACCGGATGCATAGAATGGAACATATAGTGAGGAGATATATATACATACAGAACATGAAAAGGTGGGAGTTGCCCAACCAACTCTAAGAGGCTAATTAATTAAGATGAGCTATTGTCAGCAGGAGAAAAAAAACTTTTGTAGTGATAATCAAGATAGCCCATTTAAGACAGTTTGACAAGAAGGTGTGAGGATACTTAACATGGGGAAATAGATTCAATGTTTGTAATGGCTCACCCATTCCCAGTCTCTATTTAAGCCTAAATTGATAGTATTTAGTTTGCATATTAATTCAAGTTCAGCAGTTTCTCGTTGGAGTCTGTTTTTAAAGCTTTTCTGTTGCAAAATTGCCACCTTTTAAGTCTGTTACTGAGTGACCAGGGAGGTTGAAGTGTTCTCCTACTGGTTTTTGAATGTTATGATTCCTGATGTCAGATTTGTGTCCATTTATTCTTTTGCGTAGAGACTGTCCGGTTTGGCCAATGTACATGGCAGAGGGGCATTGCTGGCACATGATGGCATATATCACATTGGTAGATGTGCAGGTGAACGAGCCCCTGATGGCGTGGCTGATGTGATTAGGTCCTATGATGGTGTCACTTGAATAGATATGTGGACAGAGTTGATAGTGGAATCAGGCAAAAGTCCCTAATTGCTTAGCTACTTTTCATTTGGCTTTCAGTCCTTAAGAGCCTTGTCTACAGTGAGCTTTTTGTTAAGATTTCCCACCATTATGCTACAGCAGGTCAGCTCCACCAAAGGGAGTGCGCTAGTATAGACCCAGCCACAGGTATTTTAACACCTGTTTTGTCTAGACCTGCTGTGATCAGAGGCTGGATGAAACAGGGGTAAAATGCCAGCATCCAGGTTATTCTGGCCCTTGTTCTGTTGCTAGCACAGTGGAAATGCACCTGGGCTAGGGCAGTGGTTGGAAATTTTAACAAAGATCACATGGGAGACTCATGGTAGACACAGTTTATTGAGAAACATCACTCCACTCTAGTGAGTTTGAGTGCATGCAACAGTTATCAGCTCCCATGTAAATGTTCAGTACAGCTTTCTAATGGGATTGTCATCTCCTCCTCCTCCTCCTCTGCTCTGGCTGAGCAGGAGCAGAGAGAAGTTTGTTGGGCCCTGGATGGAGAAGTAGGGAGGAGTCTTGCAGAAGCTACTTCCAATAGGAAACTAAGGCTTTGTCTACGCTAACACTTTTGCTAGGAAAACTTTTGTCAGTCAGAGGTGTGAAAAAACCAACCCCGTCCGACATAAATTTCACCAACAAAAGTGCAGGTGTGGACAGTGATATGCTGGCAGGAGACGCTCTCCTGCCGACATAGCTACCACTGCTCGTTGGGGTGGTTTGATGATACTGGCGGGAGAGCTCTCTCGCACCAGCACAGAGTGGCTATGTGGGAAAGCTGTGCCACTGTAAGGTCTGTAGTGTAGACAAAGCCCAAGATACGGGTTTCCATAGAATGCCACTGCACTCCCACTGCAGCTACCAGTCCCCACT